TTTGTATGCTGAAATCAAAAAAATATTGATAGAAATTTTAAAAGATAAGTATAAGTATGGAGTTAAGCTACCCTTGGGGATAAAAATACTCAACATTTTAAAGATGTCAATTTTGCCCAACTGATCTACATATTCAATACATTTCCTATCAAAATTCAAGCAGGCTTTATATTTTCATAGAATTGGTAAACAGATAATAAGATTTATATAGAAGAACAAAGGGTACAGAATAGCCCAAACAATTTTGATGAAGAGGAACAAATTGAAGAACTCACACTCCCTGACTTCATGATATACTATAAAGATGCAATAAATAATACAGTATGGAATTTGTGTGAGGACAGTCATATAGGTTGACATAACCAAACAGAAAATGCAGAAATGGAGCCATGTGAAACATCAAATATTTGTTCAGACTATAGAAGTTAATAAAAATTCTAAATGAAGAAACAATCATCCTAAACCCAATACTCCTGTTTGTTTTCATCCCTGGATTGTTATTGGAAATGGTCTGGACTTTAATTAGTTCTCTTGTCATTCAAATAATTTTACAAAAATGAATTATGTTGGATAGCTAATGTTGCCATTGGCTAAGTTTTGATCCATATATACTTGCCATCTCCCCTACACTTTAATATCTCTAATCTTAATATTTCTCATATGTTTATAGTGATGCAGGATATCACTCCATGTGCATAACTTCTATTCCTTTTAATTCCTCCACAGCATGGAAAGATGTACAAAAACTTTTACATGGAGCTTTTCATTCTGATTTACATGGAGATATTCAAAGCTTAATAATCAAACTTCTACAACAAATGACACAGCTTCAAGAAGAAGCTCAAAAGATTACTATTAATCATTTAAATGATATGGCCCATTGGCTTAATCCTACCCATTGGTTTTCCAGTTTAAATATAAGAAATTGGATCATTGCTGGAATTAGTGTCTTATGTATCTTATGTTTTCTTATAGTGATCAAACTGTTATGTTATGTCATCAAGCTGAAGTAATGCTGACTGTTCTTCATCAGAACACCTTTGACTCTGACTCCCTCATTGCTTCCAATTTTTATAATAATAATAAGGGGCGAAATGTAGTGGGTTAGAAATCTTGATTCTCCTTTGATCTTAGAATAGGATTTTTAGGTAATGAATGCATGGAGCTAAAAGGCTCTCGAGTAGAGGACAATAGTCCACAGATAAGTTTGGCAAAAGCCATTTAATCAATTCTAATCACTGTTTACAGATGGGATTGTGTATTTTGACTGTTTTAGGTTGCTGGTTTGATTCTGGCTTGAAGGACTATTGATTATTTAACCTACTGACTATTCTTAAGATATGTTAAGGAAACTGCTTGAATGCTGTTTAAATATGCTAAGGAAATTGCTGAAGGGAGGTATGTGGAAAAGAAAATGTTTACTAAGGGCAAGCTGTTTGTTGGTGGATCAACTTAGCTTTTACAAATTGCATTCTGGAATGTAACTGTTAATTTACTGCTGTTACTAGTTTTACACTGCCTGTTTTTATGTCCTTTTTTGATGCTTGAATCAACTGATTTTTCTTGTGAAACTTCCGTGTCTTGTCAATAAAAAGAAAGGCAGATTTTGAATTGGGGCTGCTCCCCTGATGGGCGGCAGTCCCTCCAGGACTTATTCATGGTACCTTGAGTGAATTCTCTTTCTTTTTTTTCATCTTGGTTACACAGAGGGAAGTGTAACAGAGCCAGACATGTATAACCAGTTGATTTACAAGAAAGATACCAAGGTATTCCATGAGGTAAGTTTAATCTTTGCAATAAATGTTACTGGAACAATTGGATACCCATATACAAAAGAAACAAACCATTACCCCTACACCCTGCAAATATACAACAACCAAAATTAAATGGATAGTAGACTTAAATGTAAAACCTAAATTATGAAAGTTCCTGAGGAAAGCATATGAGAAAATTATTATGACTTTGAATTTAGCAAAGATCTCTTAGATAAGAAACAACAGCACAAACCATAAATATTAACTAAATAGGACTTCATTAAAATGAAAAATTTCTCTTCAAAAGATACTATTTAGAAAATGAAGAGAAAAGCCATAGAATAAGAGCAAGTATTTGCTAACAAATATCTGCTAAAGAACTTGTATGTAGAATATATAAATAGTTCTTATAATTCAATAATAAAATGGCAAGTCAATAAAAATGGACAAAACTTTGGATCTTTACCAAAAAAGCAATACAGATTGTAAATACGTTCATGAAAAGATGCTAATTAGACATTAAAATGTAAATGAAAACTGCGATGAGATACTACAACTACTAGACTGGATAAAGCAGGAAAAAATAAAAATTGATTGTACAAATTCTGATAAAAATGAGTAACAACTGAAACTCTAATATATTGCTGGTGGGAATGCACAATTTAAAAGCTATTTTCAAAACAATTTGTAAGTTTCTTGTAAGATTAAGCATACATGTACCATATTACCAGAAAACTACTCCTGGTTGTTTACCCAATAGAAACAAAAATGTATATTCCTACAAAGACTGGTATATAATTTACACCAGCTTTATTTACAATAGCCAAAACCTGGAAACAATTTACATGTATATCAACTGATAAATACACAATTGTGTTATGTACATACAATGGAATACTACCTAACAATAAAGGGGAATGAAAACCTGGTTATTGAAATAACATGACTAAATCTCCAAATCATTATGTTAAGTAAAAGAAATGAGACATAAAAATACGATATCTTTTATAGGACATTTTGGAAAAGAAAAAACTGAAAAAAACTATTGGGATAGTAATCCGATCAGTGAATGATTGCCTAAAGGAACTTTTTGGGAGATGTAAATATATATTTTGATTATGGTGACTGTTACTTGACTGTATACATTTGTTAAAGTTCATTGAACCACACACTTAAAAAGAGTAACTTTTACTGTATGTAACCTATATCTTTAAAAACCTTACTTAAAAAATTAATATACAATTTAAATTGGGTATTCCACTGAGTAATATTTAATGAATTCCAAAACTGCTTAATGTTTATAGTGTTAACCATTTTTGATGAAGAAGGTCATATTTATTCATCTTTTAAAAAGTTAAACAAATGAAAAGAATTCAGAGACATATCCAATAAAACTATAGACTTTAAACTTCTTAAAGATGTAATTTATTATCTGGCTTCTACTCCCAAATACCTATCATGATTACTAAATAAGATGAGCTATTAGAATTAGAGAATTTTTTAAAAAACAATTCATCATGCCCCCTGGATTATATGACTCAAGTCAAGGACATGTGTGCAGTCCTGGTATGAAAGGTTTGTAACCTTTATTTCATTGAGATGTTGAGAAAATTGCATTTTCGTCTAGGAGTTTTGAGAAAAGCTTTTCAGGGTTTTGTTTAGTTTCCTCCACATTCTACTTTTGAGGTAGAAAATTTGGAACTTTGAAACACATTTTATTGCTTGATGTTCCAACTTTCTGGTAAAAGCTTCAAATTACTGCACAAACCATTTACTGTAAACATCTCCATCTAAACTTGTGTCATTCTTTTACATTCTATTCCATTCCTTCTCATCTACAGCCTATTCCCGTGATTCATAGAGAAGCACCCTCACTCCTCCTCCCCAACCCCACCGGTATAAAATTTCCCTTCAACTTCCCTTTGACAAACTTCCTTATGTCTTCTTCTGAAAACACTCATTTGTTAAATACCTTCCGAATGGGTTTCATTTTCTCTCAGTCTCCTCAACTTCAAATGGACAAAGAACTGAAGGATTTTTCTCAAATCCTCCTGTCAGCTTCGTATAATTAAAATACCAATCTTGGGCCAGCCCCGTGGCTCACTCGGGAGAGTGCAGCACTGGGAGCGCCAAGGCCGCAGTTCGGATCCTATGTGGGGATGGCTGGTGTGCTCACTGGCTGAGCGTGGTGCAGACAACACCATGCCGAGGGCTGCAATCCCCTTAAGAGTCAGCCAAAAAAAAAAAAAAAAATGCCAATCTTACTCTGAAATTCATTATCTGCCTCCCAATACCACTGATTTGTTTCAACGTCTTCTAAATCTTATGATTGCCAATAGCCTTTCTAGATTTTATTTGCATTTACATTAGGTTACTTTAACATTTAGATTCATGGGCCGGCCTGGTGGCGCACTGGAGAGTGCACCACTTGGGAGCACGGTGGCTCCCATGTGGAGACCGGTTCCTGCTCACTGGCTAAGCACAGTGTGGGCGTGACACCGAGGGTTGCAATCCCGTTACCGGTCAGTAAAAAAGACAAAAAGGAAAAAAAAAAAACATTCAGATTCATGATTCATCCAATCCATTCACTTCAAAGTGTGTTGACCTCCTTGATTCCACAGATCTGTCAATACACCTTACCCACAATTCAACATGGTCATATGCTGGGCCTCATTTTCCCATTATATTTTTTACCCAACAGACCTTGAACCACAAACCCTTTTTCTGATCGCAGCATCTTTGCTGTATGTCTTTCGTTCTGCTGTTCTCCTTGCACTTGCTGCAATCTCTGATACACAAATACCCCCTATTTCTGGTAATCTTATTTCTTCAAAATACATAGTCAGCTATTTTCATGCACTTATCAGTACCATAAACTCTTGCACTCTCTTCAACTTTCATTAGATCCTTGGTGCTAATTTCCCATCATGATCATAACTAATAACTGTTTTCTTACTTTCGACTCTCATGTATGGAACGTTGACTGAGAGCTACAGAAAAATGATAACATAGTTTGTTTCAAAGTAATGGCATCTTGTGCCAATTGAGCCTTCACTGCTACTCAGCAATGCTTTTAGTCACCCTTTGTTGAACTATTCTGATTTGATTATTTATTTTCCACCATTATATTAAATGCTACAACCATGTTATATTTAAATTAAATTATTCTGTAAATTTCACCTATCTTGGTACATTATTATGTAACAAAAACACAAATATAAATAAAATTTAATCGCTTGTACTCACTTAGAAATGGGATTGACACTGGCTTCAATAATTGTTAAACACTTACAGCACTTTATGTTCTCTGGAAATTCTTGTACACCTAAAGTGTGAAAAAAAGAAAAGTACATGAAAATGTTCCAGCAAACATTCTCTAAACTACAGTTCTAATATTAAAAATAACTAGTTTTCCAATCATTCGTCAATGGACATTTAGTATCTAAATCATGGCTATTGTGAGTAGAGCTGCAAAAAACGTGGGAGTGCAGGCATCCCTTCGACATGTTGATTGGATAAGAAAATGTGGGGGGAATAAAATGTATATATACACAATGTAATACTACTCAGCCATAAAAATAATGAAATTCTGCCATTCACAGCAGTATGGATGAGCTTGGAGACAATTACGTAATATGAAATAAAACAGGCACAGAAAGAGAAATGATGAATGTTCTCACACATGTGGAAGTTAAAGAAACAATAATAAAAAGTTGAACTTTCAGAAGTAGAGAGTAGAACTATGGTTATTAGAGGCAGGAAAGAGGAAGGAATGATAGTGAGAGGTTGGTTAATGCACATTAAATTACAGCTAGATAGGAAAAATAAGTTCTATTGGTGTACAGCAGTGCTAGCCATCTATAATTAACAATAATTTATTGTATGTTGTCAAATGGTTAAAAGAGAGATTAAATGTTCTCATCACAAAGGAATCGCATTTTTGCAATGATGAACTTGCTAACGACAGTGATTTGATCACTGAACATTGTATTTATCTATTGAAATATAACTGTGTATCCCATAAATATGTACCACAATATGTTTCAATTAAATAACAAAAAGAAAAAAGAATAATGAATTAAATCTATGAGTTAATACCCAGTGTAAACACTATTTAGGATAATTATTTAAATGGGAATAATAATATATTGATGTCATCTATACACACAGTTTTTCTAATAAATGTTGAATGTTAAATAATACTTTATAATAGCAATAGTCGAAAATTGGATATAAAATTGAAGACAACTGTATATTTGGCATAACATAGATTTTTGCTCTTTACTAACTTAAAGAGATAAGAATAAGTTATTTAGTTATAGTGCCACTACTGGGGGAGGGAGGAACTAGCATATACGAAGAAAACAGAAGATAAAATATTTGCTTCCAGGAATCATTTTATAAGATTGAGAAGACTGAACACATATTTGTGAAAAATATTTGATACTTCAGAAAACCAATAGACATTCCAAAACTAATATGATGCTCTAAAAATTTTATGCAATTCTCCCTTGTTGGCTGCACAGACTGTAGTTCTGCATCTGCCTATAAGTGTGAAGAGGCGAGCAGCCCTTCCTTGGGTCCTCCTTGGAGTGTCTGAGACAGCCAGCCTGGCTGACTGCCCTTGGAGAACTGCTCATCTGTGCTCACAGCTGTGTCGTTGGCTATGTGACAGAAAAACACAGGTTTCTCTATGAAGCTGAAAATCAGTAAGCCACAAACCTAATTCATAAATGTGAAGGTCAGAGGAATAAAAAGTGTGGGGGACATTCCAATCAGTTGTATAAAAATGAATCAAATATGGTAGGCCCTGCAAAAGTTAGAAGGGAAGACAGCTATCGGAAGTTGTTACTAGATGCCTGCAGTATCACTTTCTCTCAATTTTCCAAACTGTTATTGAGGATGTAAGATTTCTAAAAGAATTGGTCTGGCTCAGTACTTCATATCTGACAAAAGGAAAAGAAACATTTTGTGGAAGGACACAGTTGTACTTTCTGAAGATGGATACTCAAGAAACAAAAGATTCCACCTTCCTTGATTCTGTTAATCTAGGCCACCATGTCTGCAGGACCTCAAAGCACAGCGAAGCAGCTGGAATACAGCCAGATCCAAGATAGGCCATTTATCCACTGCAAACTAAGGGTACAAAAGAGGGTGTGGGATGTTTCTCACCCCATTTCTCCCTATGTGAAATTTCTTCAGAAATCATACCATCCTAAAATTACTGCTGAACTATTTTGGCTTCTATATAAGAACCCAAGGAAGTTTGGCAGCTCCACTATGTATGAATTTAACAAGAGAGACTAATTCTGTTTTTTGGAAGGCCACAACACCTCAAGCTGTGCTCATTAAGTGGACATTAACAAAATGGCAATCAAGTCAGTAAGCTAACATTTGAACCATCTTCACCATGTCCCTTTAGCATTCATATTTACTTTGGATATTTGCAACCAACAGGGGTATAGGCTTCTTCTTTTCTCCCTTTAGCTTTTTCTGTTTAGTCTCCAGTCTTGGCTCATTACATGCTGGTCTGCCTGATGCCTTATCTCCACAGGTTCCTGCCTCAGGATGGTATTTCCTTAAATTATGTGTAACCAAGCCATGAAAGCAGAAGTAATTAAAATACAATTTTAAGGAAAAGACTATATCTTTTTATCTTCTACTGAAAATGAAATTGCCTACTGTGGTAAAATTGGTAGTGCATTATTTGTTTAAAAACTTGTATTATGTTGTTTACAGTTTAAATTTAAAATAGTTCAGAACAGAGTTTGTTGACTTAAGATGGAATACCAGCTTTATCATTTACTGGCTGGGTAACCGTAGGCAAGTCATTTAAGCTTTCAATGCTTTAGTTTCCTAATCTGAAAAAATGGTTATAATATAAATGGTTTTATCACAGAATTGCAGTGAAGATTGAAAGAGATGACTCTGATAAAGCAATTGTCACAAAGTGACATAATAATGTTATCTATAATTATTAGAAATAAAAAAATAAGCAGAGGCTGTCAGTCAACAAAAGAACAATCATATCAAAATGAGCTAGCTTAAGGAATAAATTTGTAAAATTTATGTACCTCAGAGAACACAGGAAAGAAGTAGAAATTAGTGTACATAATAATGTTATCTATAATTATTAGAAATAAAAAAATAAGCAGAGGGTGTCAGTCAACAAAAGAACAATCATATCAAAATGAGCTAGCTTGAGGAATAAATTTGTAAAATTTATGTACCTCAGAGAACACAGGAAAGAAGTAGAAATTAGTGTGCAGAAAGACTATACCAATATCTAATCAATATAGCAGCTGAGAAATGCTCTTGCAGATGAGAAGTACATTTAATATATATATATGAATCATATATATAATTATATATGTAAATTTTATGTTTATATATAATTCATTTATATAATTATGTATTGAATATAATGTGCATATATGTACACACACTTTATTTTTATTGATGAATAATAATTGTATATATTAAAGAGGTACAATGTGATATTTAGATATATGTATACAATGTATAATGATTAAAACAGGATATTTAGCATATCCATCACTTCAAACATTTGTCATTTTTTTGTGTTGGGAACATTCAAAATCCTGTCTTCTAGCTATTTGAAATTATACAATAAATTATTATTAACTATGTCACCCTACCATTCTATAGAACATAAGAACTTATTCCTCTTATCTAGCTGTGATTTTGTATTTGTTGGTCAATCTCTCCTTATCCTCCTACCCTTCCCAGCCTCTAGTAACTACCTTTCTATTCTCTACTTGTATGAGATCAGCTTTTTTGGATTCCACATATGAATAAGAAGATGCAGTATTTATCTTTCTGTTCATGACTTATTTCACTTAACATAATGCATCCCAGACTCATCCTTGTTGCCATGTATGACAGGATTTCGTTCTTTTTTATGGATGAATAGTATTCTATTGTGTATATATACCTCATTACCCCATTTTATTTATCCAATTATCATGTTGATGTGTACTTAGGTTGATTCCATATATTGGCTATTGTAAACAGAGCTGCAGTAAACATGGGAGTAAAGGCATTCCTTCGACATACTGATTTTCTTTCCTTTGGACACTTTTAAAGTCCTCAAGAACAGCAGCTTTAAAACTCTGTCTCTGTTTCTGTCTGTCTGTCTGTCTCTTTCTATATATATACACATACACACACCAGACACATACACTTTTAAAGCTATTGTTCTTTGAGAATTAAAAAGTGTCAGATATTGTGCCAAGGTCAGAGACACTAAAAATGAGATGAAGAAAACCTCATGCCACTTTTCTCAAACTTATGTTCTAACATAGAAAAATGAGTAGAAGAAAAACTCTGTAGAAGAAACAAAACATAAATCCGAAGTGATGTTCTAGAAAACATAGTAAAATTAGGCAAAAAAAGGAGAAAAGATAAAACTAGAACAGTTAAGACAATTTATCTGAATAACAGCAGTTCAAAGAAGAGTGAACTAAGAAAACAAAGAATGCAAAATACTAAGGAAACAATTCAAGAATATTTCAGAAAATTTAAAGAACAGACAACAGAATATTCTAGATTTGAAAATCTCATTAAATACCCAGGTTAATAAGAATTTGGGAATAAAGTCAAAGGAGATTAAACAGATTTCATACAAAAGGATCAAAAACCAGATGACATTTGACTTCTCAAAAATATTTGGAAGGAGAATTTTATGAAGAAATATATCAAAATTCTTTAGGAAAATGATTTCTAGCTAAACTCCTTCACATGACCAAACTATTATCCCCCAAACTATAAAAGTGAGAGTGGAATAAAGGTATTTTCAGAGTGACATCAGCAAGATGGCAGAATTGGAGTTTTCTATCATCATCTCC